ATTGACAGACTTTTGTTAGGTGACACACATTTGAACCTACGCAATGTATGGTCAACGAATGCACACATATTTATAGACAGTTTTAAATGTGTGCAAAATTTCTGGCCTGGATTGTAGTGAGATGGTTAGATAAAACAATAATAGTATTTTTGTTCACCTCTTCAGTAACTCCAAACGCAAGAACGACACCTTGGCCATTAAATTTTTATCCTCAAACTTGCCATACAAATGATAAAATTAAATACAAAAAAAATACTTACAAATCACATGGTATGCAATTCATCACGTTATCAGTGTATATTTGAACGTAGTCAGTTGAACAGTAGGGAACTTTTATAATAAATAGTGAACCTTCAGAAAGGTCAATTGTAAAAGTAAACATGACTACAATAAACATAAAATACATGGAATTCATGTTAGTACGTCTTTACTAGATGGTAGCTCACGTTGCAATACAATATAAATGTTTTTTATCTGGCCAATAGTGCATGTTATATTATAATTAAAAATAGGTTTTCCTCGTGAAACTCCCGTTGGTTAGGTATATGAATCATTATAAATCATTTTGTGCAATAACATTAACGGCTGAAGGTATGAAAACTATATCTACATGAGCTATAAGATTATTATTTTATCATAATAACTTAACTCATATTACACACAGCCGTCTAATCTCAAATTAGGCAGAGCCTGTGCTACAGTAACCAGACTGTTGATAAATATTGAATGGCACATTCTTATATTTTTCTAAATACATTTAATTTCTTGATAAAATATACCTAGCCACAGAACAAATGAATGATGTACTCATCACTCGATTCTTTGACCTGGGAAATACAACCCAACACCATTGGTTTAACAATTATGATCGTTCATCACTAGACTTATAAGGCAGTCTGTTATAACAATTGACTACACTGTTGATTTAAAATTATACGTCTTGGACGAATAGAGTGGTTTACTTGTAGAGTTGGGGAGTGTCAACAATAATAATATATTAACAGTTCATGTTATTTTTTTGTATTTAATGTTATCATTTGTATGGCAAGTTTGAGGATAAAAATTTAATGGCCAAGGTGTCGTTCTTGCGTTTGGAGTTACTGAAGAGGTGAACAAAAATACTATTATTGTTTTATCTAACCATCTCACTACAATCCAGGCCAGAAATTTTGCACACATTTAAAACTGTCTATAAATATGTGTGCATTCGTTGACCATACATTGCGTAGGTTCAAATGTGTGTCACCTAACAAAAGTCTGTCAATTGTCTATTAGCCCTATAATCACTTGTCTATTATTTAACTTGCTGTACCCTGTCAAGATTTGCTGTGGCACATTGTTGTTGCATTTATCAAAAATGAGGAACAATACCGACGCAACAAACATATAAAAAAATTATAGTTTAAAAAAACTAAAAAACACGCTTTCTATAGAAAAACAAACTAAAAATTAGAAAATAAACTTTGAAAAAAAGCGTTAGGTGGGTTAAAACTATATTTTTTTTAATTAGTGTATTGTCATTGGTCCTCGATATATCTACAAAGTTTGAACGAATTCTGACCATTTAAAGTCAGTCAAAATCACGCCCAAAGGAGTCGGTTACAAACATGCAAACAAACATACAAGTGAAGCTAATATTAATAATAATAATAATCATTTATTTCGTCAGAAAGAATTGCAGAAGTTCATTATCATTAAAGTTACAATTTTCTTGTGGGTACATAAGTTTTGAACCCTGACATCCTAACTAGGTACAGATCTGTGTTTTGGACATCAGTTTTCTGCTAGAGCCACTATTGACAATATTGTCAATCTTGGACTTGTTTGACTACTTTACTGTTACAGTTTTTAGTAATAACATGATTATGGCTTAGATACAAGTGAAGCTAATAAAGCGTGTAAAAACAGTCTTGAACATCTCCGATCGGCTCGATCCCTTGGCGTTACGTAGAGATGTGGCTTCACTTTGCATTCACTATCGCATATATCATGGAGAGTGCAAAAAAAGGCGGGATGTAAATCGTGTCAAAATTTTTACTCAATCGGTGCAAAACTTTTGAGTTTTTCACAAACCAACTTAATATTTTTATATATAGACATAAAAAGTGATAAATGTAATTGTAGTTTACCTAACCAAACGATTCTATTTCACTGTGTTTATTTTGTTATTATTAATATTTTGTTTGTTACCTATTTTTGACATTTATTTATTTACACATCATGCACATTTGGTGCATTGACGGACTTAACTTTACCTTGCCTTTGGTTGATGCAGAGAAAACCGAATGAAGGTGCATTATGGTTACAGTTAAATTGAGATGATTTTTAGATGTACTCGTATGTATTATAAACTATTATAATAAATCATAAAATATATACACACATACAAACCAGTCATATACTTCACCTATACATTTTATCATATACAAATAACATTTTTATGTAGTTTAAATTTCTCATATAAGTATAGTTATTAAAATTCAATTCATATTGATTTAGTATGTACTGCATAGACACGCATGGTTCGCATTATTCGTTATCACCGCATTGTGTCTGACCGGTTATCAGGCGTCCTATCAAAAGCAGACCCAAGATGACGATGCCATATCCTGATTAACACTCTCTTACTAACAGAGGGCAAGATCTCTGCACACCACAACAGGGTTTCTGAGGTTCAACAGGCAGCAAAGTCTGTAAGGGTTCTGTATCCGGTAATGATCAAGATCATGTGTTGTGTGAATCTTTGTGTAAGTTCACATAACTGTGTAGGTTTGAATTTAGAAATATATAAATAAGTTTATTTATTAATTAAGTCTTCCTGCAAACATATTGCATAAGGCGGACTTAATGCCTCAGGCATTTTCTTCCAGTTAAACCCTTGGGTGTTGCAAATCTGTATGTGGCAGATGTATATTTAGAACAAGTAAAGATGAGACTGAATTAAGCCATGTTACAATGGCAGAAAAGAAAAAATCCTACAGATATATAAGTACTAGATATACATTAATATAGTTTATACATAATAAGAAGATAATGAATATACTCTTAATGTGTTTATCAGTGACTTAATTACTTAATTTGTGATCATATGGCCGTGAGTCTGATAATACTCGTAAAATATAATATATCTCACACATCTCACACACGGCCATCTGATCTCAAACTAGGCAGAGCCTGTACTGTGGTAACCAGACTGCTGATAAATATACTTATTTATTTTAAAATATATACATATTATAGATAAATTACATCCAGACACAGAACAAATGACCGTGCTCATCACACGATATTTATCCTGGGTGGGAATCGAACCCACAACAATCGGTTTAGCAAGTCGCTAACCACTAGACTAGCAGGCCCGTCATAGTGATTATTATTAGTAAGATTATTATTATTTATTTTAAGTGGTAGTAAACCTTAATGGTTTTATCGAGCAAGAAAAACATAATCTATACGCAGACATAGTGTAATGTGATATGTACTACATCTGATATGATTCCGATTTGAATACGTGAAAAAACGCACTAGATCGGACTCCTATTATCCGATTTCTTTCAGTTATCAGTGATATTACTTTGGTCTGTCAATAATCATCTCCATTCCGGAGAAGATTATTGACAGACCAAAGTAACCATACTATTATTTGTGTGAACGTACCCAGAATGCTTCTTCTGTGTCATTTGTACGTACAATAGCATTGCCAGCAGTTGACGTCGATCGAAAGGACTCATGATCAACGATGTGAACGTGAAAGACGTATCCTAAAGGTGACCCCTGATTTGCTTAGATTAGAATCAAAGATCGTAATAGTGCGTAAACACTATGCGAATTCAGGCAATCAGTAAGCCACGGATCAGAAACCGGCAGTAGTACGAAAAGCAATATCTGAATTCTGCCCGAGATTTCTAGATCCGTTTTTTAACGGGTTCGGATCGGATTCGGATCGAACGTATTGCAAAACCGCTCTAATAACTTTAAATATATCCGTCAAAACTATAAATTACAGTTTCAACATTTCCTGTTGTGGTTATTGTTAAACATAGTTCAATAATAATTATTATTATCATTTTGTTGGCCTCATTATAATATATTTTTGTACCATAACAGGTCAAAATAATAATCTCCCATAATTTTATATCGCCTTTATAATTTACATAATGTTTAACTGTTGCTACCAGCTGCAATGTATACTATACACAATGTTTAAAATTTTTGTTTTTTTGGTTTAGCTTCCTATACTTTTACGTATATCTACATACATTCATCATCATTAACAGTCTTTAACAGTCCATTGCTGAACACAGGCCTCTCCTTAGAAGGGAGGTTTTGGCCTACTATACCACGTTGGCCAGACGGGTTAGTATAGGCTTTGTGTCAAGTTTTCAATCTCTTTGCAGTGGCTCCCTTGCTTGGCTCTTACGACATCCACGGGATGAATAGGGATGGTGACACTCCGTATTCTTAATTCTTCACCACATGAATTATTCGAAATATGACGGGCTTCCAAGCACCATATTTGTTTAATAAGGGTACACAGAATTTGCTAGAAACATTTTAAAAGGGGTTTTCCGCCTTTCTTCTTAGATTAAAGTAGATAGAAATAGATAGATATATTTTATACGAAACCCGCAACTATACGTATATTGTATTTAACTGGCTTAAACTTTAAAGGTGAAATAATTGAAAATGTAATATGTTATATCGTGGAAGTACCACATACTCTTGGCTCCTATCTCCCCGAGGAGCCGGAGATCCGACGGGGTTTTCCACCATGTCAACAACAAAAAATAAGGCTTGTTTCTCTGCATATAAATGCAATGATCATACAATGCGATTATTTAAGATATTTTTAGTTGTAGATCTCAATTTTAAATTATATAAGTTACATAAGTTGTTTGATTATGTATGTCCATTTTTGATTTTATTTTAGGAAAAGAACTTTCTTTATCATTAAAATTTATTGTCATTTAATAAAACCTCATTTTTGTTTATCTTTTCAGGTACGAAGATGAGATTGGACGTGATAGAAGATGGGTGAAATATTGCAAATCGAACACAAGAAAACTCCCGGAAGGAAGCCTCCCGGCTTTTGCATGAACTCGGATATAAAAATGTACCTTAATTGTGTTTAAATAAAAGTTTTATTCAAACAACTGTCAATATATTATTATTGTTGACACTCCCCAACTCTACAGGTAAACCACTCTATTCGTCCAAGACGTATAATTTTAAATCAAAAGTGTAGTCAATTGTTATAACAGACTGCCTTATAAGTCCAGTGATGAACGATCATAATTATTAAACCAGAGGTGTTGGGTTATATTTCCCAGGACAAAGAATCGAGTGATGAGTACCTTCATTTGTTCTGTGGCTAGGTATACTTTATCTAAAAATTATATGTATTTAGAAAAATATAAGAATATTTATCAACAGTCTGGTTACTGTAGCACACACTGTAGCACAGGCTCTGCCTAATTTGAGATCAGACGGCTGTGTGTAATATGAGTTAAGTTATTATGAACAAAAAATAATCTTATAGCTCATGTACGAGTAAATATAAATTTCATACCTTCAGCCGTTAAAGTCCTTGCACAAAATGATTTAAAATTATTCATGTACCTAACCAACGGGAGTTTTACGAGGAAAACCTATTTGTAATTATAATATAAACTGCACTATTCTCAAGATAAAAACCATTTACATTGCATTGCAATGTGAGCCAGCATCTAGTTAAGACGTACTAAGATGAATTCCATGTATTTTATGTTTATTGTAGTCATGTTTACTTTTACACTTGACCTTTCTGAAGGTACATATTTTGCTATACAAAATCCCAACTGTGCAACTGGCTACATTCGAATATATGTACATGCATAACGTGAAGAATTGCATACCATGTGATTTGTAAGTATTCTTTTTTTGTATTTAATGTCATTATTTGTAATATGGCAACTTTGGGGATAAAAATTTAATGGCCAAGGTGTCGTTCTTGCGTTTGGAGTTACTGAAGAGGTGAACAAGAATAATATTATTGTAATTAATATTATTTAACGGGAATTAACGCGATCTCTTATTTAGGGTATTACATACCTCTGGTTTGCCTGACGTTTCGACCAGGTTGCACCGGCCGTGGTCACAGGCTGACTGGGTCATCGGCGCACGCCCTCCGTCGTCGAATCCGTGAAGTAGAAGGCTCTTCATCTACCCGCACATTTTCGATATTGTTTTTGTGTCGCCATGTACCGTCACATACCACACTAACAGTGTCCCTATTCTGTAAGCAAACCGATGAGTCCCTATTCTGGTGTTTAACCGATTGCGCAGAAAAGCGAGGTGGTATGTTTTTTAACACTGGATTCCACGCTGTAGATAATTTAAAACCATCTTCCCGATTGAAAGTTTTATGCTTTTTAATCTCAATCGCTTCACGTACAACTCTTGAGTAAAAGTGACGTTCGGTGGAGAGGACTTGCGTGCGGTGAAATTCAATCCAGTGGTTGATGCCTGCATCGAGTGCATGTTCTGCAATCGCTGATTTGCTCGTCTGTCGGTTCTTCACAGCAGCGATATGCTCTTTGACCCTTTCTGCAATAGTCCGCTTAGTTTGGCCTATGTATGAGCTTCCGCAGCTGCAGTCTATTTTATAAACACCCGGAGTTTGTAGTGGCAATATATCCTTCGGTGTGCCGACGATGTTGTGAACCTTTATGCCTGGTGTGTATACTGTCGGAATGGAATATTTCTTTAGTACAGACCCGATCTTGTCCGTAACTCCCTTGACATAAGGCATATAGGCCGGTTGCCTGTTCACTTCTGGATACTTGCGTCTTATTTTCGGTTGCTTCCGTCCTCCTTTCACTTGATATCCGTTACCTTTGAGTACCTCCTGAACATGTTTTAGCTCCTGTTCTAAATGTTCAGGGTCACAGAGATCGTAAGCTCTGTTTTTGAGTGAAGTCATAACAGATTGCAAGTGCCGGGGGTGATGATGAGACGTGGCGTGTAGGTATCTGTCCGTATGAGTAGGTTTACGGTACACACAGTGTGACAAGGACCCATCCGATCTCACGGCTACTTTAACATCTAAGAAGGACAACGACCTGTCCGTCTCCATTTCATATGTAAACCTCATTTTGGGGTGAATAGAGTTAAGATGTTGTATATATTGATCCACTTCTTGTTTGTTTCCTTTGACGATACTGAAAATGTCATCCACGTATCGCTTCCATAGCTTAACGGTATTCGGGCCGAGATTTAAAGCCTTCTCTTCAAAATGTTCCATCCAGATGTTGGCCAGTACTGGGGCTACAGGACTTCCCATCGCGACACCATCAATCTGGAGGTAATGTTGACCTTGGAAAAGGAAATAGTTGCCATCTAAACAGTGTTCAAGTAGATCAATATAGTTTAACGGCAGCTCGCTGTCTCTCAGTAGGTCTTTTACGACGTTTAGGCACTCCTTTATTGGAACATTGGTGAAAAGCGACTCCACGTCAAAGCTCACCATGACGTCATCCGGTTTCAACGTCAGATCTTTTATTAGCCGTGAGATCGGATGGGTCCTTGTCACACTGTGTGTACCGTAAACCTACTCATACGGACAGATACCTACACGCCACGTCTCATCATCACCCCCGGCACTTGCAATCTGTTATGACTTCACTCAAAAACAGAGCTTACGATCTCTGTGACCCTGAACATTTAGAACAGGAGCTAAAACATGTTCAGGAGGTACTCAAAGGTAACGGATATCAAGTGAAAGGAGGACGGAAGCAACCGAAAATAAGACGCAAGTATCCAGAAGTGAACAGGCAACCGGCCTATATGCCTTATGTCAAGGGAGTTACGGACAAGATCGGGTCTGTACTAAAGAAATATTCCATTCCGACAGTATACACACCAGGCATAAAGGTTCACAACATCGTCGGCACACCGAAGGATATATTGCCACTACAAACTCCGGGTGTTTATAAAATAGACTGCAGCTGCGGAAGCTCATACATAGGCCAAACTAAGCGGACTATTGCAGAAAGGGTCAAAGAGCATATCGCTGCTGTGAAGAACCGACAGACGAGCAAATCAGCGATTGCAGAACATGCACTCGATGCAGGCATCAACCACTGGATTGAATTTCACCGCACGCAAGTCCTCTCCACCGAACGTCACTTTTACTCAAGAGTTGTACGTGAAGCGATTGAGATTAAAAAGCATAAAACTTTCAATCGGGAAGATGGTTTTAAATTATCTACAGCGTGGAATCCAGTGTTAAAAAACATACCACCTCGCTTTTCTGCGCAATCGGTTAAACACCAGAATAGGGACTCATCGGTTTGCTTACAGAATAGGGACACTGTTAGTGTGGTATGTGACGGTACATGGCGACACAAAAACAATATCGAAAATGTGCGGGTAGATGAAGAGCCTTCTACTTCACGGATTCGACGACGGAGGGCGTGCGCCGATGACCCAGTCAGCCTGTGACCACGGCCGGTGCAACCTGGTCGAAACGTCAGGCAAACCAGAGGTATGTAATACCCTAAATAAGAGATCGCGTTAATTCCCGTTAAATAATATTAATTATCATGGAACGCGAAAGTTTAAAAGTTAGAATATTATTGTATTATCTAACCATCTCACTACATTTGAAACTGTCTATAAATATGTGTGCATTCGTTGACCATACATTGCGTAGGTTCAAATGTATGTCACCTAACAAAAGTCAGTCAATTGTCTATTAGCCCTAAAATCTCTTGTCTATTATTTAACTAGCTGTACCCTGACAAGATTTGCTGTGGCACATTGTTGTTGCATTTATGAAAAATGAAGAACAATACCGACGCAACAAACATATAAAAAAATTATAGTTTAAAAAAACTAAAAAAAAACACGCTTTCTATAGAAAACCAAACTAAAAAATAGGAAATAAATTTGAAAAAAATGTTGGGTTAAAACTATTTTTTTTTTAATTAGTGTATTGTCATCGGTCCTCGATATATCTAGGGGGAAGTCCCCTAGTGACGGACACATAAGGTTTTCAGGAAATAAAATTAAAACTACATCGAGAAATATGTATTTATTTATGAATTACTTAAATTAACAAAACATAAAATCAAAATCAAATAACAAAAATACAACTTCTGCGTAAACATAGTTTAGGAATATTAAATAAGTTTTTGTAAAAAAATAAAGGACTTTGACATTGGCACCTAGTGCCGGACGGGTTAATCTTCAAACCCCAAGCGCCGGACATTCTAAAACATTGTGCATCTATCACATATGTAGGCATCTCCACATTCTGGAAAGTCTGCACATGCTTCATGAGCCCATTATTGGCATCTGGAGCATTGTATCCAGTCCTCGTCGTGGTCCTCTAAACACACTACACAAGTCGTTTTTTCTATATTTGATACTTCAGTTAGCGGCGCCTTTTTGTTGTCGTTATTGCCACGTCTTCCTTTTGCCTTCGCATCTTTGGTTTGTTTACTCATGGGGAATCGTCATAGCTTCAGCCAAGTCGTAAGCTAACTTCAAAAACTCGTTTTTCATCAGGGGCAGACATCTATTAGACAAATCTCTTATGTGGTCCACTAAAACTTGCTCATACTCGGGTGAGAAGGTTTTTGTGAATCTACCAACTTTTGGTTGCAACGTGACTTCTTTCCCACTGCTCAATGTCGTTATTTTATCGTGTAGAGTACTTTTTGGAACATTGTAACGTGACGAAGCTGCCCTCAAACTCATTTTTATGGACAAAATCTTGTTCATCGCAATTATTAAACTTTGCTGATCCCATTTTCCTTTTTTTTTCTCTCTTGCATTTTCAAATATCTCTCTCCTATCCTGTAAAACAACAAACAATCATCATTACAATTACAAATGCTTCATAAAAAAGCTAACCTATAAACTGTCCGGTGGGAAGGGACACCTTTGTGTCCGAAAGTAGGGGACGGGAAACGTCCAAAATTACGTATTTCATACTAAAAGTGTTTAGGTATTTAATAAAAACTTTCACAATATGATAATTATAATGAAACACTGTCTTTATTAACAAATAACAAAAACAATTAAGGATAAAACCATAGCAGTAATACTTACTT